CAAATGTTGCTGTATATGTAGTCCTTGAATGAACTGTGTTCACATTCCGCTGCTGCCATGCACACACGTCCTCCGAGCTCTCCAAACCTCTCAATGTCTGTAGCAAGACACGGACCATGGCGCAGACATCATGGTGGCCCCAACCGACCTGTTCCACCCATGGTGGCCTGTGCCATGAATGTGATCAGCAGACAGAGGGAGGGGGAGGGTCGGACGCCACAACTTGTGATTGCTGTGATTGGTTCATGGTGATCACAAGACACAGAATTCGCTCTGATTGGCTCTTTTTTTTCTTTCTCCCCCATACACGATTCCTGTAACCTCTCCGACTTCTCTTCCCCACCAGCCCTGTGAATCTCCGCAACCGCTCGGACGTCTTCTACCTGCAGCCGGAGCGATCGTGCGTGGCCGAGTCTCCTCTCTGGTATTCTGTCATCCCCATGGACAAAAACATGCTCCAGAGTATGCTGAGCCGTATCCTGGGCGTGCGGGAAGTGTACGAGGAACAGTTACGTGGGGGGGGTGAGGACCACGAGTGACATGCGACGGATCATACAAGGACACACACTGGACTCTAGACGCTCCCCGATCCCTTATAGACTGACGGAGCGGGATAAAAAAGGGGGTTCAGTTTCTTCATCTACTGCGGACTGGAGCGCAAACAGGACACACGCTCCCCTTCACACTATCCAAAAAGCTTTATGTTGCTGGAAGAATGATCCTCGCGTTGTCCTCTGCCGCGGAGGGGAAACAAAAAGGGGGTGGGGCTAATGAATTTTTTTTTTTATTAAGTTTTTTTTTAATTTAGATTCTCTATTGTGGATATGAGTGATATGAACTGGGCCCAGTAGGACCCGCTTCCTGGAGGGCAGATCCTCGTATACCGCAGGCTTCCCCGGGGATGCACTTTCTTCTCTCTACACCCTTCTGTTCTTTGCTTTTACTCGGTGTGTTCCGTTCCAGGACCTATTCACTAAAAAGGTGACCCCCCCCCCATTGGGTTCAAGGATCTCTCCGCGCTGGCCTTTCCTGCAGTCCTTCACATTTCTCCATCAGCTGATTATTTTGCTGCTCCAATAGTTGACACATGAATTCATTGTTTCTGTTTTATTGTCATTTATATATATTTTTTTTTTATACTGCATATTGCTGG